GTCTGTAACAGGGTGTCTGTAACAGGGTGTCTGTAACACTTTGTTGTAGCAATTTGTCTGTAACAGTGTTGTTACGGTTGTTACGGGGAACGCCCGGCAGGTAGGCCACCGACGATAACTCTCGCGCCTGGAGGTAGGCAGCCTCTCCTGCACGAGTAACTGTCTGCCGCTGGGGGCGAGAGATGGCGCTGACACCTGCTTGTCTGGAATTCCCTCCTCCATACCTCTCCCCCCTCACCTGACCAGAGATCAGCTGGGCAAGCGAGGGAGCGGAGGAGGTCTCTTTGCTGACCGAGCGCCATCCGAGTAATCAGCTCTTGTGACTCTGCTCCAATTTTACCATTTTATCAGTTCACTCGTGAATGGTCCGGAGTGACCTGTGTTGTTCATTTTCTTGGTCTTAAGGCCTCATTGGTGAGTCTTCCCAACAGCATTCGTTTTATGATACAGTTCCTCCTGGTATCCTGTGTGGACTCATGTGTCTCTCATTATTGCATTTAGGTTGCCTTGTGTCATTGACACTTTTAGTACTGCCTGATAAGTACACTATGGAGGGCTAAGTCGCCTTGGGTGCCCTGGCCAGTCATCATGATGATCAGCAACGTCGGTCTCCTCAGGGAAACCATCTGATACTAACTATGTAACCACCTCCAGTACCCAGCCTCCATGCAGGTGTAATTCAATGAATTTACATAAATCCCTGCCACTTGAACCATCAGTCAAAATGTTATGTACTTGTATATAATTTGTCTGTTTGTCCCTAGGAAGAATAGTTTCGGATTTAATTAACCAGATTTTCCTCGTGTTAAATTGGCGTTTCTTGCCTTGTTTGGGGACAGGTAGCTGGAAAGGCAAGTGATTCGTAGATTGCGTGCCACTCTTCCAGTAACTTGTCCCCAGTAAGGTCGTTTATTCTAGTTGCCTTGTAGGCTGCCATCATAGAGTCTATTCTGGTTAACGTAACTTAGTGTACTCAATGCGAGTTTTATGTCTCCTTAGGGTCGAACAGCAACAGCAACCGTAAATTTCAGTATAATAGTACCTCTCTATTCGTTTATAATTTGACTCCCATACCCAAGTATGCAATACTAAGAAAAGAATTAGTATTACACACAGAAAAATACGAGAAAGAATTTATTGCAATGTCAGAAAATAACAAGAAAAAAACGAAAGTAATTGAAAGAGACATACAAAGGTTTCAGTACAGGTAAATTTGGTACAGCATATTACAAACAGAAAAATACAAAAAAGATTTTATTGCAATGTCAGAAAAAGACAGGAGAAAAACAAAAGTAATGGAAAGAAAGATACAAAAGTTTCAGTACATGTAAATTTGGTACAGCATGAACAACTCAATTCGTAGATATGAAAAATAACAAAACACCAAGTATAAGAGAATTAAGGACAGTGAACGACTTCGTAAAGATGTCGAAGCATTGGTAGACAAATGCAGCAAACAGACTGGAAGAAAAAAACACGAGTTAGTGAAACTATTAAGAAAGCGCAATGACATCTTTCACAAGGATAACAGTACTTTTGTTAAAAATGGCTGGACTAATAATGAAATAGATACAGGGGACCATCCCTCATTAAGCACACAGCAAAGCACATAAGCAAATATAATATGCAGGCTGCGTTGGTGACCATTAAAAAGTATTAAGAACAATGGGCCATCATACCCAGTCAATCAGCATGGGGTTTTTTAATTCTTTGTGTAATGCAAAAGACTGGAAAGGCATAGAATGCAATCACCAGAGTCACAAAAACACATATGCCAAAGGTACAGGACTTTTTGCATCTAATGAAAAGGAAAAAAATGTATCATGTTTTTCATTTACCCAAAGTATACCACAACATTGAAATATTCAGAAGATCAACCAAAGACAGGTATAACATTACATGAAGGACTAGGACTATGACATAAGCAGTTTGGGTTTACCAGCCTAAGCTTCAAGCTGGCTGCAGGACCAGATGCCTTTCAATACATGACTAACCGAATCATCACTCCAACCATTGAGAAAACCTCAAATAATAAGATAAGAAACACAGGGTAAGTTTACCTTGATGACAACTGCATAAGTGGGGATTATTTCCAGAAAAGTGGCAAAGATTAGACGGTCTATTCAACAGGATCAAACCAGCAGGTTTCATAATAAAGGCAAAGAAATGTAAGCTATTCCAGCCAAAGATAAGCTATCTGGGACACAGATTATCTGAAAAAGAAATAAAAACAAATCAAAATAAAATAAAGAAAATAATGAGTTGACCAGCAAGAAGAATGTAAAAAAAGGCAAGATCATGAATACAGTTAGTCCAGGACTACTCTCTAAATATGTTTCACACACATTGCAACGATAGCTAATCCCATATTCAAGTTTCAAAAGAAACAACAAGCATTTGAATGGACCAGAGTTTGTCAAGAGTTATTTGATAAATCAAAAGACTCCTGAGAACAGCACCAAAATTAGGACCTCAAGATATGATTACTGGAGAGTTTACTATTAACACAGATGGTATTTTGTTCGGCCTTGGCTGTGTCCTAAGCCAAGTAAGAATGGAAAAGAAATCACAATAGGCTACTTATCCAAAATACTTAACACTCCACAAAGAAACTATTGTGCAACACACAGGAAGCTACTTGCACCTGTCAAGTCAATAAAAGCATACCATCATTACCTGGCAAATTCACTGTTTGTAGTTAAAACAGACCATGCAGAATTGAAGTGGTTAATAAATTTCCAAAATCATAGTGGTAAGACTTCACGTTGGCTTGAAAAATTAGGACAATACAGATGTGAAATGGTCCATGTAAAAGGAACAGTCATAGGGCATCCTGATGCTTTATCGAGAAAGACATGTGATGTCTGCAAGAAATATTTCAAACTGAAAAGAGAAACAAAACAGTATTAGTCTGCCACTCTCAAATCCAATTGGATTAAAAGAAAAAAAGGTATTACAACTGATACTACCAGCCAAACTGGTAAAACAAACAGTGAAAGCTTACCATGATCAGCTGGTAGTATGCAATCATATGAGGGTGTCCAAAACATTAGGATTCCTTAAAAAATTCTTCTGATGGCCAGCAATGTTTGAATACACAGATAAGGTAGTTTCTCAGAACAGAATTTGCACAAAGTTCAAACACCCAGCTCAGGAATTATATTTATGAAACTTATTCCTTTTCAGATGTTGAGTGCAGGTTCACTTTTGACCTGAATTAGGATGATTTAAGATGAAAATTAAGTTTACAAGCATTATGAAAATTGATTAACATAACATAATATAATGTAGAACAAGATTTTCTGGCTAACTTCAAGATCAAATAAGATACTGTGTCGTCTAATCTCTCACTCACGTTTTTAAAGGACTAGAGCACCATCTAACTCATTAATAATTTGCCTTAAATACTTTTCTGATAAAGTTAATAACTCATTATTGTGCGATTCATCATAATTTAAGATCAAATTCTGATACAAGTAAATCAAATATTCAACTTCTCCTTTTTCTTCAAATGTGAGGTTATCAAAAATTACAGTAGCAATTTCATTAATAAGTGATTGGTCATTTCTCACGGCTTCAATTGTTAAAGATATTATTTCAGTGTTACTTTGGACTACAAGTTGACAGTTTAACAAAAAATTTACAAAATCGTGAACTTCTTCATATGCAGTACTCATTTTTAGGCAGATAAGGTTTCAAAAATAAATAAAACGAATAGGATTTACTTGTCAATGTAAAACTAATGATTCATGAAAACACTGGCCCTAACCGATAGAAATTAATAATACTGTTACCGTACAAAAATTTAGAATGTCTGAATAATTTATGAAGTTATGTTCTGTTTCTATGTGAATGTGATAGTAATGACACTTGCTTATTGTTGCTAAGATATTAAGTAAACTTACAACATTCCCTTACTTTCTTATTTAGTTTCCAATTGACAGTCTGTTAATGAGAATTGCATTAGTTCTTATTGAAAACAAAACCTTATGAAGATGACTTTCAATCTAATGTCAAATCAAAACGTATTACAAAATCTGATATGGGGAAATTTAAGTAAGCTTATCTCGACAACAGATAACATATTTATGAAAAAATGTAATGACTACTTTGTGACCCACCTGTATAACCTCAGAGTTGGAATTCATGCAATAGACAGAATCCCTAAAATCACTTTCACTCAAAAGAAGCTTGTAGTGTGAAGCTAGTCACATTAAATTTCAGAGTTTGAGTCAAATTCATGTTTAGACTTGCTATCATGCCTTCAGAAACTGAAAATGACAAGACGTGACTTTAAAAAATTACAAAAATTCAATACAATAAAAAGAAGATCTTGAAAACTGAAAAGAAAAGAAGATAACCTTACTTCAGAATTACTAAGAACAAACAAATTTAATAAGAGAACTAAAAATAGTATAAAATAGGTATTCAAACACTCATTCTCTTTTTCAAACAAACCTTCCACAAGTTTTCAAAGACAGATTAAATATAGTTTAACTGAGCCTTGAAAATGCCGGTTTCTTGTACATTACTTCAGTGTCTTAAGACAAACACAGGAAAACAAACGTCCTAAATAAAAATATTGCTGTTTACCTGCACATAAGCTTTTTGAAATGACGGGCGGCTATCCGCAGATAAACCGCCTGCAGACAACTAACGACATCGTTTCAGTTGATTAACCGACTAAATTTCTCATAAATTGCAACAAACCTCCCAAATACCACTTGAACATACATCAAAGACCGTAAAAGTTTTCATATTGACTATTTGCTTATCAAAAAACTGTGTATCCAAGGAGGTCTTTAAATAATTTAAAAATAAATAATAACAGAAAAAAGCATGTGTATCAAAATTACAAAAAGAAAGTGAGGTATGTTTTTGTAATTGTGTGTCAAAAAAAGTCATGGACGTTTATGAAAATTTAATAAAGACAAGACAGATATAAATTCTTGTTGGATGTCGAAAGCATAAACACTAAAAGAAATTTTAGAAATCTGTCGAACCAAGGAGGTAAGGGTAGGATATAATGCTGTGTTAACCTCCTCATATTTGGAATTAACATTAGAATAGCACCTTTCTGTTAATGTTAATAAGGATTCTAAGATTTCAAATTCAAAAACAATCTGTCACACAAAATATAGAATCCAAAGTACGGTTGGTTTTGCTCACATTGTACATCATAACGTTTTAGAGAATAAATACTTCAGTTACAACAAAATTTTGTTTACTAATTGGTATAACATAACAAAATAGGTAAAACGGAATCATTAAAATAAGATTTCATAGTGATAACAAATGCCTATAAGACAATAAATTCTTCATCAAGATCTTCAAAATAACTGAAAAGGTAAATTAATCACATTAGAATTATCCAATAGCTAACGATAATGACAAAACCAATGTCAAAGAAATACTAACTGTGAACCATCAACAATACTAGTTTGAGAAAGTTCATCACACCGCAACTGACAGGTACAGCTTCGAACAGACATTAAGTTCAATTTGCAAAAAAAACAACGGATACGCTTACTTTCAAGGTTTTCCAACAACTGATGTACAATGACAAGTTTAAGTAATTTGTCTATAACAGTTAAATTGTCATCATGATCAACACATCTTGTACAAATTTTGACTAGAGTATCATCTTTAAGTAAACAAATTTGATACGTCACAGTTACACAAGAAAAAAGAGGAACAAAGCCATTTTGACATATTACACCCATCATTTAACAAAGTTCAACAATTTATGATGTATTACAACTGTTAGATATGACATTCAGACCTCTCCACTCATGAAATTATTTTTCCTTCACTGTGGAATCACAGAAACACCTGCTAAATTGTCATTGTTGTACAGTTGCCTGACAACAATATCTCAACCACTTTGCACAACTAATTTTTGACAGTCATACTTTTTTTTCAATCAAAATTACAGACATCAGCTGCAATATATCTAAAGAAACCTCTTCAGGCTAAACAGTTTTACAAAATATAACAATACAACAAAAAGATGGACCCACCAGACACAGTAAGTATTAAAAAATTTTGAAATAAAAAAAATTGTTAAGGTACAACATACTCCACAGAGTTAGCCCACAATTTCTGCTGGAGCTTAATCGGAAGGGTTATAGTGTTTTCTGTAGCTATAATAACTGAGGTCCTAAAAAGGGTTTTTTAGTCAAACTAAACCTAAAAAGTCTACTTCATGAAGCCAACGAAGACCTACGCCCACAAAGTTAGCTCAAATTTGGTAACGAAGTCTTCTAAGAACGCTTGTAGAGCTTCCCCCGGAATCCTGGAGTTCTTGCCGGCTACCACGAGGAGCACCTCACCGACAACCCCATGTCGTGGCGTGCGACCTCCTATCGCGGACTTGCAAGGGTCTAACGCTGCCCTGCAAGGGCCTAAACATCAAGTGCAACGATCTGGGCGGGGAAGACAGAAAGCGGCAGGTTTGTAGTATTGCCCCCCCCCCTTCCGTTCCCCAGCGTCCAACACATACAAACACTCAAGGGCGCCCATGGTGAGAAAGTGCACCGACCCAAGGCTGCAACAGCTACAGCAGTGAACGACACTCAGTCCAGGTCCGTCAACTCCTTGCCGGCTGCCCTCTGTTCACCGCCCAGACAGACACAGCAGCAGGTATGGCAAGGAATAGCCCCTCGGCAGTGTCATCCACTCCGCTGCCATCGAAGCCCTGACGGTTGACGTCCGCTGCACACTCAGGTTGTCGACAGCGCAACAACAGGTAGGGCAAGGAGTCACCGCACAGCAGCGTTCTTCACTCAGTGGTCAATCCTGTTACACGACAGTGCGCGCCAGGACGCGTAGTTGCCTACCCGGCCGGCGCTCCCTCGCACTCACACTCACCTTGGTGGGGTCGAGCAGCGGTCTCTGCGCGGACATCCGGTGGGGGGTGGGCCGCGAGGCCTGCACCACCGGCCGCTCGTCGTAGTCATCCTGGTGCTAGTGCTGGGATAGCGAGGGCGTGGTGGGCGCGGCCTTGGCCTTGGCGCCGAGCAGCTGAGGGCTGCGGGGCAGCACGGGGTTGCTGCCACGGGACGGCAGGAAGGGTCGCCGCTCCACCCGCGGGGCCTGGATCACGTCGTCGGCCGTCGTGCTCCGCGGCGGCGCCGGCGTGGTCGTGGTCGTGCTGCTGGGATGCGGCGGCGAGCGCGGCCGCGTCGACGGATGCGTTGGCATAGTCCTGGGCGTTACCAGCTACGAAAGGTACTCCTCGTCATCGTACTACTCCACGTCCTCCTCGGACAGCGGGGCCTGCGTTGTGGTCGTGGACGGCACCGACGGCTTCCTCGGCGACTTTGGCATGGGTTTGGGTGTCGGCGGGGGTGGTGACGTCGTCGTGGTGAAGGTGGTCATTGTCGACGTCGTCGCCAGCGTCACTTCGCTGCTGTCGTGCTGCTGGCGGAAGAAACCGTGAGTAGCGAAAAGGGACCGCGCTGCCATCGAAACCCTGGCGGCTGACGTCCGCTGCACACTCAGGTCGACAATGAGCGCAACTACAGGTAGGGCAAGGAATCACCGCACAGCAGCGTCCTCCACTCCGTGCTCATGAACGACAGGGCGACTGCAACACGCTCTCATCAACTCTCAGAAAGTCCGCGCCAACTCAAGTATGAGATCAAGGTAGAGGCCAAGTGTCGGACTACATGGCACTGGCTGTAACCTGGGATATTTGTCGGAGGGCACAAGAAGCACCTCACCGACAAGACCACGTCGCGGCGTACGGCGGCTTCATGGACTTGAGAACGCTGCCCTACAAAGGCCTCAAAATCAAGTGCAACGATCTAGGTGGGGAAGACGCAAAGAGGTAGGTTTGTGATACTTTACACCTCGGTGGAGTCGAGCAGCGGTCGCTGCGCAGACGTCCGGTGGGGGCTGGGCAGCGAGGCCTGCACCAACGGCCGCTCGTCGTAGTCATCCTGGTGCTGGTGCTGGGATGGCGAGGGCGTGGTGGGCGCGGCCTTGGCCTTGGCGCCGAACAGCTGGAGGCCAGGGGGCAGCACGGGGTTGCTGCCACAGGACGGCAGGAAGGATCGGCGCCCCACCCCCGGCGCCTGGATCACGTCGTCGCCCGGCGTGCTCCGCAGCGGCGCCGGCGTGGTCGTGGTCGTGGTGCTGGGCTGCGGCGGCGAGCGCGGCCGCGTAGACAAGTGCGTTGGCATAGTCCTGGGCGTTACCAGCTCCGAAAGGTACTCCTCGTCATCGTACTACTCCAAGTCCTCCTCGGACAGCGGGGCCTGCGTTGTGGTCGTGGACGGCACCGACTGCTTCCTCGGCGGCTTTGGCATGGGTTTGGGTGTCGGCGGGGGTGGTGACTTCGTCGTGGTCATGGTGGTCATTGTCGACGTCGTCGCCGTCGTCACCTCGCTGCTCTCGTGGTGCTGGCGGAAGAAACCGTGAGTAGCGAAAAGGGACCGCGCTGCCATCGAAACCCTGGCGGCTGACGTCCGCTGCACACTCAGGTCGACGATCAGCGCAACTACAGGTAGGGCAAGGAGTCACCGCACAGCAGCGTCCTCCATTCCGTGGTCATCGACGACAGGGCGACTGCAATACGCTCTCATCAACTCTCAGAAAGTCCTCGCCAACTCAAGAATGAGATCAAGGTAGAGGCCAAGTGTCGGACTAAATGGCACTGGCTGTAACCTGAGATATTTGTCGGAAGGCACAAGGAGCACCTCACCGACGACACCACGTCGCGGCGTACGGCGGCTTCATAGGCTTGAGAACGCTGCCCTACAAGGGCCTCAACATCGAGTGCAACGATCTAGGCGGGGAAGACGGAAAGAGGTAGGTTTGTGGTACTGCTAGTAGTAAGGGTACCTCCTAGTCGCGGCCAAATGTCTGGTACCTCCTAGTCGCGGGCATGGGTGGGGGGTCCCCCTCGAGGCGGGGGGATGGGTGGAGTGAGGGGGTATACGTTATTCCGTTCGGGGATATCGGATGCGCCCGTGCGATAGCCTGACCCACGCCCCCCGAGGGGCATAACCTCGGAGGGGCGTAAGTGCAGGTCCTCTGGTGCCTTAAAGTTGCGGGCAGGGGTGGCGGGTTGCGTCAAATCCCATGGCACCTTATTGTCACCGGCGGGGTCACCGAGGGGCGTGAGTGCTTGTCGGTCATCCTCTGGTACCTCCTAGTCGCGGGGTGGGTCCACCGCGCCCAAATTCAAATGCTCGCTCTGGTGGCGGGTTGTCGAACTACAATAGGGAATGCCAAAGTGTTGTGCGCATGCGCGGGCCA